GAGAGAGAGAGAGGAGCGTTCAAATGAAAACCGTCTTCATTTGTGTAAACCGTGTAAACCAATCTCATCCATCCATTTTCTTGATCAATGGTCAAGATTAGTTTACTTTATTTTAGGAAATTAAAAAATATATATATTAAAAATTTATTTTTATATCAACAATAAGGGCAAAATGGTAAACAAAAATACATATTATGTAACATCATATTGAAGGACATTATTCTTTATTTTAGGAAATTAAAATTTTCTATTTGTTAGGAAATAATTTCGCTAATGCAGCAGCCTTTTTATTCCTTATCCTGAAATTGTTTCAATGTCCTTCAYACACCCATGTAAATATGCACCCTATTCATTATGAAATTATTTCAAGACGCACCGGTTTCATCATGAATCCATTTCAGCATGTAATTATTTCATGACAAACCGCATACATTATGCACCCATTTCATTTTGCATTTTACCTACTAAATGGATCAACTACACCATCACTGAAACGGGGTTCACCATCAAACCAGTTCACTACTCATTGTTCACTTACGCCATGAACTAGTTTCACCTTCATGAAACTTGTTTCATGTACATAGATTAGTTTATTTCGCTCCTGATTTGATGAATTCATTCCTTTAATCCTTATAATCTTAAAGATTCTGTAGCAGATTACAATCTTTAAGATTATGGAGCATATTCATCATATACCCGTTTCATCATGCAATTATTTCATGACGAACCAAATACATTATGCACCCGTTTCACTACTCTTGGTTCAATTATGCCATTAACCAGTTTCACCTTCATGAAACCTATTTCATGTACATTAATTTTCTTATTTCACTTGTGATTTGATGAATTCATTCCTTTAAGCCTTACAATCATCAAGATTCTGGAGCAGATTACAATCTTCAAGATTCTGTAACAGATTCATCATGTACCCGTTTCATCATGCAATTATTTCATGACGAACCAAATACATTATGCACCAGTTTCATATTCCACTTCACCTACTACATGGATCAACTACACCATCAATGAAACGGGTTCACCATGAAAATGTTTCACTACTCATTGTTCAATTATAACATGAACCAGTTTCACTTTCATGAAACTTGTTTCATTTGTATTAATTTCTTTTTTCAATCATGATTTAATGAATTCATTACATTATGTCTTACAATCTTCAAGATTCACCAGCAGATTCTATCGCATCAAAATATATTTAGTTCAAAATTTTAAAATTATAATATAATTAAATATTTAAATGTTATCATTTATAAAATTTTCTTTATTATGTTTCCTTAATTAAGATTTATTAATAATTTCCATATTTAATTGAAAATATTGTAAATGACCGAAATACCCTTATTGATTANTTATTAATAATTTCCATATTTAATTGAAAATATTGTAAATGACCGAAATACCCTTATTGATTATATTTAATTAGAAAAAATGGAATTTTCCTATTGATCGAAATTAGTTTACACGGTTTATTAGAAATGCACGGTTTTCATTTGAACGTTCTTCTATATATATATATATATATATATACTTGGGATCATGTGAGATCAAAGGTTTTTCGTGAGACCCGTAAGACCAATTCTCCATCCTTGGATTAGATCTACAATCTGACAATCTGAACATTCATAAACGCCACGAGACTTCTCAATAATCACAAAATTGCCACCGTGCAACTTTAGACCATTAGATCATTAGCTTATAAAGTTGATCAATGAACATAAGTTGGTCTTACGGGTTTTCAAATTTTGATCAATAGCATATTCACATGGGAGTATTTTCATATCTTTTTACCATATCATAAACCATTTACCTCATCTCCTTAAAATCAAAGTTTATAACTTATTTGAACATGCATACAACATATTACAATTTCATATAAACCAACCGATAAATACGTTCGAATACAAGAGAATAATTGAATCATACTACTAATAAACTTTAGAAAAGCGATGACCGACGATCGATTACTCTTGCAAGCTCTCAAAACCACATAAATCCGTAAAAAAAATAAAAAACAATAAATAATAAAACGAAACATAAAAAACGAATATCTTAACTTTTACATCGAGACACTTTTAGCAGTTATTAGAAGGATACTCGTACAATGCAACAATATGCATATCGATTTTAATATTTCGTTTTATTTTGTCTTTATCGATGTTATAATACGATTTTATGCTATACTGAAAAACAATAATGTTTTTATTTTTTGAATAAAAATATAAATTTAAAGGTATCATAATTTTTTTAAATGTAGTTATTTTAGTATCAAATTAAATATTTGAAAGTTCTTATTCTTTTTGTGTAATTTCTTTACTTCAAATTTTTATTATAATTTGATTTATATTTAATAATAA